ATCTTTTTATTAATATTTAATTTAAAAAACTAAATACATTTAAATATTTATACTTAAAATATTTTAAGTTAATATTTTTTACTTATAAGTAACTTTTGTAATTATAAGAGAATGAGGAATTACTATTTTTTTTACATATAAGTAGCTTTTACAATTATCAGTTTTTTCATTACTTTTAAATAAGTTGAAGTGATTTTTTACTTATAAGTAACTTTTTACATTCTAGATAGTATAATCTTTTTGTTAATATTTAATTTAAAAAACTAACTATATCTAAATATTTATACTTCAAAAATTTTAAGTTAATATTTTATTGACTTTCATAAAGTGAAGTAGTATGTGAAAATAGAGAAATATTGTAGTGGAAGTGACATTGCATTGAAAACGACGTGTGAAAAAATGCTACATTGTGATTGAATAGAATAATTTACTGTTGCCAAATCAGTTTCAAACCAGTTTAATGTGAAAATCTATATGACAAAAATAAATAGTAAACCTCACATTCTCTCTTTTGAGATAAGGAAGGATATAGACATTATTTTGAAAATAATTTAAAATTTTAAAAATATAATTAAAATAAGAATTGAAGCAAGCAGGTGGGGATCATGTTTCCATCTCCACGCTAATTTTTCTTCTAAAATGGGGATCATGCACCAAATGAGGCAAGTACCATTGCTTAGAATCATGCTATGTTGTCAAAAAAGGATTAACACTCACCTTAATAGTACACTCACAATTGGAGGAGCATTTTTTGAAATTTTTTTATTTACGAGGGTCCCACATGAGGTTCCATGCCCATGTGAGTGTAGGTCAACAAAGTAGACAAATAGTTTTTGGAAAAGAGGAAATAAAAATTAGTTTGTGAAAACAATTTAAAAAGTTGATAAAGTCAATTAAAATAATCCATTTTGTTTGCCCTTTCGATTAGAATTAACATCCAACGATTACCATCATTTCTTCATATTCACTTAATATATTTAATATATTATTTGAAATTATTTATTACAGATACACATTATATTCTCTCATTTACCTTTTCTGTATCTTAACTTCATTAAATAAATCAACTGAAAGAAAATTCTAAAAATATTCATCTTTTGTTCCATTTTTTTTTAAAAATAAATTTACATTTACTATCTGTTCAAATGAAATAAATCTATCAAATATACATTGATCATTACTAAATAATTGATAAAATAATTTATGATAATATTGTTCAAATGATTAAATAAATTAAATACATATTGAAAATGTAAAGGTAATGAATCCGTCAAATATGGTTAAATAAATTAAATACATATTAAAAAATGAAAAGTAAAGTAACGAAGCATCAAGTGTCCACTCGTCTTAATTAGTTAGTTAACAAAATATTTAATTATAATATTATCAAAGTGGTTTAAATGATTAATAAATTAAATACATATTGAAAAACGAAAAGTATGGTATTATTGAAACAATTAAATATATATTGAAAAATGAAAATAGGGTATTATTGAAATAATTGAATTATAGTAAAGATGGAAACATCAAAAAAATATTTCTAGCTTGATGTGATATTTAATATATTATACATTAAGTACTTTAGACCCAATACAATTAGAAAGTAAATAGATTTAACAAAAATGAGAAAAAATCGAAAAATAAATAAACATGTTTACATGTGTAAATCCCATTTGGAATCTTGAATCACCTTCTATATTTTGGTCACTTTAATCTCCTCTCTTAATTTCATTCTTAAAATTGTAAAAAATAAAATAAAATAAATTGCTTGCTATTAACATTACATTTTAGAGGTGCAAAAATAAGTAATGAGAAAATTTCATAATTAAGAGATTAATTATGACTCATTTCAAAATAAAAAATAAGGTTTCAAATTTCAAAAATCGAATATTAATAAAATTTTACCTATGAAATCAAAAATATATTTATTAATTAAATGTATTAAGTTCACAGCGTTATATAATATATAGTCACATTTTATATATTAGTTACAATTATAACGTTACAATCATAAATTACAAATTTTATAGATTACAACTTATTTTTCGATCATAAATTAAAATAATAGGTCACATATTATTAATTGGGCACAAATCACAAATTTCATACGTTAAAACTTATTTCATGATCACAAAATATCAAATTAAATGGTCATAGATTATTTTTAGGTCAAATTATCAAATTGTTGGTCACAATGTAACAATTCATAGGTCACACATTATTTATTAATCACAATTGTATATTTCATTGGTCATAATCAACTAAATAATTTTTGACCACTACCCTACCACTCTGCATCCCATCCACTGCCACTACTATCATCCCCACTACCATGCTGCCATAGCCACCGTCGTGCCACCATAACAATACCAAATAATTTGTGACCACCTTTATGCTTCTTTTTTGTGTCTTTCCAAACACTCCACACCACCAAAAGTTCCACTGCCATCACCGTTACCATTGGTGGATAGTTACCATAAGCATCTTGTTTACAGCCTGATAGCGACCTTCGCTTTCATAATCATATTTACACTCTAGCAAATAATATTAATTTCCCATCGATCGCTGAGAACAATATTACACCGCCGCTACCCCTGCCACTTGGACTATCACAGATTCAGCCCCCACGACTGCCACCACTTCTACCTAGAGCTGGACCTGAGGAGAGGCCCAAGAGGCCTCTGCCTCAGGCCCAGCATATTAGGGAGCATAATGAAAACTTGGAGCCCTTTTTTTTTTTTATTTTAAGAAACCCAACTTCAACAATTGAATTTCAACAGTGCAGTATTACGTCTTCTGCTGTTTTGCAGTCACCAATTGCTCCTCCAGTCCTCCTTACGTGACTACGTTTGCAACTCAAGTACTCAAGACTCAACCACTTCTAAAAGACTAAAACCTATCGGCGACGATAGAGTGAGTCGAGTGACAGCATCCTCCTGTGGCAGTCACCAATTGCTCCTCCAGTATTTTTAGATCCCGGATCTTTATCTGCTTTTTCTAAATTTGAAAAACTTTTAGGTCATTTTTTAAGAAAATAGTGGTGGATTCGAATGTGCCAGTTCAAGAGAAGGCTCTGGATGCACTCATTGTCTCATTGCATACTTAAAAGCTGTCGATGCTGAATTGCTGATGCCGGGAGGTATTTTTTTCCCAAAGTACTCGTTTAAGTTTCATCTATTTAATATACCTTTTACACGATAAAGCTGAATTTTGTTTCGTTCCTTTATGGGTTCAGATATGCCAAAGAAGTATGTGATGCAATAGTGGCCAAATGTCTAACGGGGAGGCCGAAAACAATGGAGAAGGTGCAAGCAGCTTTTCTGCTGCGGGTAGAGTTGGAGGCTGTTGAGGATTTCTTACTTCTTAGTACGTTTTATATTCAAAATGTAGAAATTTAGTTTACCAGTCACCAGTGCAATGATGTGATCTGCTTTGCAATTTAGCTATGAGGAGCATACTTGGCATTATTAAATTTTATTTGATTAATTGAGCTATTAAACAATGTCTCACTTAAATGGTCATAAAGATGATTCATATAAGTGATGCATTTCTGAATTTGGCTTTAGGTGCTTGCTGTATGTTAAATTAGGATATTGTTGTATTATGTGAATTTAGCTATTTCGAAGGATTGCTGGTTCAAAAGAGTGTAAATGAGCCTATTGAAAACTAAAAGGTGTGAAGTGGCTTATTAATGCTCTGAGCTCAAAAGAAGTGAAATTTAGTTGTGAATATATAGAATTAGGACCAGTGTCCTAAGAAATTTAAGTCCACTTTGTTGGGATTCGCATTTTACATGGTTGGTTTTGAATCACTCTTCGCATTTTTACGTGGTTGGTTTTGAATCACTTGGTAGTTCTTACCTTTTCGAGGTTTTGGTTTGCAACTTTATTTTGCCATCAGAAATACTGGCCTTTCTGGCAAGCTTGGCATTCTACTTCTGTTACTACTTAATATGTATCAATTTGTTTTCTTGCAAAATGTCGTAGTGAGAGTTTCATCGAGGAGTACTTGTTTATCAAATATTCGTCTCAAAGAACTTTAGGTCAAATAGTTTAATGTGATGAATTTGTACACTATTCTACATGTCTTAAAGAGCATTAATTCACTCATTGAAGTAAAGAAGGTTGCAAGAAATACCTTATTCCATTTACTGTGTTATACTGTTGGAATGTTGTAAAAAGGAAAAAAAACGTAATTAATGTACTTCATTTGAATTAGTTAACTGTGGATGAATGATGATTATATGTACAAAAAAAGAGGAGGTAGAATTTAAAAGTAACTTCATTCTTATAGCAATAATTAAGTTGAATTTATTGAGTCGAAAATCAAAGGTTATCATTAAAATATTTGGCAAATAAAAAGTTATGGGTGAGTGAGATTCAAAATTTCAAATTGATTTATTTGTCTATTTGTTGCATCTTGGTGAATGATGGCTTATTCCAATTCTATTTCAATTTTCAATCTTAAATTAATCTAACTTGAGCCTCTTTTACTCTCAAATTTTAGTAAGTGTTTGTTGTTGAGTGGCTTTAATAAAATACCATGGCTCCTAAATATGAGTCGGGAGCTCAAAAAAGGAAGAAGGAAAGAGTAGAGGCATTAATTCGAAGCCAAGTTGGAGATATGGATAAGTACTTTAATGGCAAGAAAAGAAAAGAGAAGGAAGAAACATCAGATGATTTAACGATTGAAGAGCAACAAAATCAGAATAATATTGATAATGATCATGTCGATGAACAGAAAGAGAACAAGGAAATTATTGAACCTGCAAATATGGATGAGTCAAAACACAATGATGAAAATCATGTTCAACATAAAGATTTAAATCAAGAGAATTGCTTCTCTTTGAATTTTAATAATCCTGGAAATTGGAAGAACATTCACATTGATCAAAAGATAAGAGACTTTTTAGTTGAAGTGGGTCCAAAAAGAGTTGATGACATCTTCTTTCCCAGAGATAATAAAGGTAGACATTTTGAATCATCACAAATAAGCGGTTAATGGCAAATGGGCAGACAACTGATAGAAGATGGTTCGTGTATTCAATTTCTTTGGATAAGATCTTCTGTTTTTGTTGCAAGTCATTTAAGACAGAAAAAATGGATAAAAATATTGGCCACTTGGGTAATGACGGATACAATGATTGGCATAATATGCATCGGCGTCTTACACATCACGAAGTGTCTAAAGAGCATATAGGTTGCATGATTAGTTGGATAGAATTGGAAAATAGGCTTCAAACAAAACATACAATTGATAAAAGCATACAATTGTCTATCAACAAAGAAAGAGAGCATTGGAGACAAGTGTTAACGAGAATAATTGCTATTGTGAAAAGACTCCCTAAAAATACTTTGACATTTCGTGGAGATTGTGAGCAACTTTATGTTGAGAACAACGAACTTTTTTTGCAAATGATAGAAATGGTTGCCGAGTTCGATCCAATAATGGAAGAACACATTCAATGTGCCCAAACACGCAAGATTCAGTATACATATCTAGGCCCTAAGATTCAAAATGAATTGATACAAAAATTGGCAGGCGAGGTGAGAAGTGCAACTGTCACAAAAGTGAAATATGCAAAATATTTTTCCATCATACTTGATTGTACTCCAGATGCGAGTAACGGAGAACAAATGTCTCTAGTAATACGATGCGTGGATGATTCGATAAACTCGACGATGGTACAAGAATATTGGATTGAATTTTTCAAGGTGGATGATGCATTAGGATTTGGACTTTTCATCGAGCTTAAAAATGTGTTAAAGAATCTTGAGCTTGATATTGATAATATAAGGGACAAGGGTATGACAATGGAGTTAACATGAGCGGGAGATATAGAGGTGTACAAAAAAGGTTACTTGAAATTAATCCTAGAGCTTTCTATACTCTATGTGGTTGCCATAGCCTTAATCTAGCATTATGTGATATGGCAAATTGTTGTTCGAAAGCTATGTCCTTATTTGGGGTGATACAACGAATCTGCACATTGTTCTCTTCTTCTCCCAAACGATGGAAATTTTTTAAAGATAAGGTTCACGATCTAACACTTAAGCCATTGTCACAGACACGTTGGGAAAGTCATTTGGAAAGCGTCAAGCCTATAAAAGAACAATCTATACAAATAAGAGACGTTTTACTTGACTTGGCAAACATTGTTGAAGATCCTAAAACAACAAGTGAAGATGAGTCCTTAGCAATATATGAACTTGAAAATTTTGAACTTTTGCTTGGCATAGTAATTTGGTATAAGTTGTTGCATGCAATCAATACTGTGAGTAAATTTTTTCAAGCAAAAAACATGAATATTAATGAAGCCATCAAACTTTTACAAGCACTCATTTCATTTCTTGAAGATTATAGAGAATCTGGGTTTGCCAGTGCCATGGATGAAGCTAAACAAATGGTAAGTAAAATGAGAATTGAAGCTGTATTTCAAAAGAGACGTAACATTCGAAGAAAGAGGCAATTAGATGAAAGTGGCACTAAAGAGGTAACATACTCGGCTGAAGATTCTTTTAGAGTTGAGTATTTTCTCTTTATAATTGATCAAGCTTGATCATCACTTCAAACTCCTTTTGAACAATTTACACATTATGAAGAGATATTTTGATTTTTGTTTAACAAGGATAGATTAAAGAGTATGCCAGTTGACAGTTTGCTGAAATCTTGTATGAATCTTGAGCGTTATTTAGAACATAATGGACATTCAGACATTATAGGTGATGATTTATGTTCGGAGTTGATCGTCTTGAGGTGCTGTTTAACTAGTAAAACAAAAAGAGCAATTGATGTGCTACATTACTTGTAGAAAATGAATGGTTGTTTTCCGAATGCTTGCATTGCTTACAAGATTTTGCTCACCATCCCGGTTATAGTTGCATTAGCAGAAAGAAGTTTTTCCAAGTTGAAATTGATCAAAACTTATATCCGATCAACTATGTCACAGTAAAGATTGAATGATTTAGCCATGTTATCAATTGAAAAGGAAATGGTTGAACAACTCGACTATACAAAATTGATCGATATTTTTGCCTCGAAACTGCAAGACGAGTTGTATTTAAGTGATCTTTTAGAACATTTTCATGTTGTTATTTGATTATAATATACATATTTTAAATATTTCATTTTTTTGATTTTATGTTAACAAATTTAGTTCCTTAAATCTCTTATAAATGAAAAAAATTAATTGCTTGCTATGATTTATGGGCCCAAAATTTGAATTTCGCCTCAGGCCCTGCAAAACACAAGTCCGGCCCTGCCTCCACCACCACACCATCAACAGTCTCCCATCTCTACCATACCACAGACACAAACCCACCAAAAATCCCAAATTTGTTGGCACTATAAACACCACCACCACCACTTCCACAGCAATCAACATAAAAAAATAGATGAGATAGAGCACTTTGCCGTGCAGCTGCACCTCAACACCTAGTTGTGCAGTCACATCTCAACACAAACAAATATACAAATCATCACCACACCATCTTCCGGTAATTGCAATGCAAACCTCTGGAGCCGCGATGCTACTTGCCACCACCGTCAAATCTGCTAATTTACGTTTGCCTCATGCAGCGTCATTCTGAAACTGTTGTGTGCCATAATGAAGGACAATTGGCAAAAGCAATGTCTCTCTGAATTGGCATCATGCCACTCATTGCTTCAGAGTACCACCGTGGGTGCCGCTTCGTGCAGAGGCTCTAGCTTCGGTATAGAGGATAGAGAGATGGTGGAAAGAGAAAAAGATGAGAGAAGAAGAAGTAATTAGGGTTTGAGAGTTAAATTGCCTAGGTTAGATGATGGTGGGGTGAATATGTAGAATAATTTAATTTTTTTAATAACATCATTAATGTTTAAACTTTAAATTATCATCTGATTTTTATTTTTATTATTATTATTTTTAACTCTCAATTCTTGTTTTTGAATTTCATAGTTTAGAATTGGGATTGGGTGTAATTTCTACATAAGTAATTCCTCAAACAAGGCCGGCCATAGCATAAGGCCTACTAGGCAAAGGCCTTGGACTTCAACATTTTAGAGGAGGCCTCCAAAAAAATTTCATCTTAGCATTTCTCTTTGAATGGCGCAAATTTTAACTTAGCCCCTATTTGATTTCCATTTCTTTGCCACAAAAATAAAAAATATGACCGTTATCCATCATATCAAACCACCATATTTAACTTTCTATCTCTTGTATGGGTCCTGTAACGATTATATTTTTCATTCTCATTTTTACGAAAATGGGTACCAAACGGGGCCTAATAATTACTATTATTGATTAGACCAATGTATTTTGCTGACAACTCAAAACTTAAAGGATTTCGACTTAGATATCTCATTTATGCATATGTGTAAAGAAAGATTGTAGTAGTGTTATTTTTTTATTAGACTTATTGTTCCGAGTTCATTAAGTAGTTAGAATTTTTTATTATACTTATTGTTTGGCATGTCATTACTATTATTTATGAACACAGACTGAAAAAATATTTATCACAAGCTATAAATTAACTTCCATATTTGATTCAATTCTTAGTCTCCTATTAATGTAATTACCGATAGAAAATAAATAAAAATTGAAAAAGTTATTTTGTTCAAGCATCTCTACAAATGCAAAAATAAAAAGAAAAAAAAGAGTATCTTTAAAGGTTTCATAATAATTAGTCGCTTAGAACTTCAAAATTTTCAAGGCCGACCCTATCCTCAAAAAAGAAAAAGAAAAGAAAAAAGGAATGATCCTCTTTTCATTTATTATCCCTTCTCTTGTAATTGATCCCGTCGTCTAATCTTTTTCTTTCTTTTTACTATTTTCGGGTCTATTCTAATAATTATAGTACTTAAAGTGACGTTCATCTCAAGCAAATCTCAATGCTCGAGTGCTACTTGTACAAGTTCTTTATATATTTTGCATACACAAATTTAATAATGTATGTATAACCATTTTAAAGCTCCAACAAATATGTTTTTGCTTTGTACTTTGAATTCATTAGAATCACACGTTGCACACGATGTTCAATCAAATATTCTTCTTTTTTTGGGCACGCTGCACGTTAACACAGTTGTTATTATTATTATTATTATTATTATTATTATTATTATTATTATTATTATTATTATTATTATTATTTTATTTTATTTTTATTCAACCACTAATATATGAGTAGAAACTTTTTATTGAATATCACGAACAATTTACGAAGGAAACTAGACTAAGATTTCTCAAAAGGAACCAACAACCAAAAGATGCAACCACACTTAATTAAATCAATTATGGAGCAAGAGCCTAATTAAATCGATAAAAGTGCAAGCACACAAGAAACGAGTCAAATGACTTGAAGCCTCGAAAGAAAGAAGAGCAAATTAAGATCATGTATGATCCTCGATTCTCAAATTTCTTTTTTTTTTTTCCTTTTTTTTGTTGGAATTACTATTTGTTGGAATTGGTTCAAATAAATTGGAAAATGAAAAGGTGTGTAAAAGTGGTAAATGAAAATGTGTGACTTCATGTCAACTTTAACCAAATATTCGGACTTGATCTGATGGTCAAATTACAAAAATAAATAGACGAACTTATTCTACTCATTAAGTATATTGTTGTGGTATATTTGGAATCTTGAAACCAATTCTGAATAAATGAGAAATTGTTGTCCAAAGTTGTGAGAAATGAAGTTTGCACCCTTTCGAAAGAATGTAGATTTTGGCCAAGTGTTGCAACTTTTCGAAAGGATGCATGTTTTGGCTCACATTACTTCATTTACATCCTTTCTACATCTATAAATAGGACCCTATGAATATGATTTTGAGTACACTAATTGCATTGAGCACTCATTCTCCTCTTACAATTATCTTCTTTATATTTTTATAGCATTTTCATTCATTTCATTTGTAGAGGGAAAATTATGTCAAAAAGTTCGCCGGTTTCTTGTGGCTTGAAGTGTTGCTACCACAAGTTGTGAATTCGTTGTATTTTGGGAGACAAGTATCATTTATCGTGAGCACCGTAGCGGGGCAACTTGTCTTAAGGAAAAAGATAACATCTCGCCTTGGATTATTTTCTATTTTATGCTCCTTCTTAATTCTTGTTTTGCGTAATCGTTTACCACATTATATATATATACTGAAACTTTGTCCAAATTTTCATATAAATTGTGTTTTGATCATGCTCTTGCAGGTTAAAACTGGTCGAACAAATATATCAAAAACCAACCCTTACATAGCCCGTTTCTTTAAGTCATCTCCAACAAACTTAAGACAAATATTTCTTGTGTCTTTTTGGTTGGTTGTGGACAAACCATTACTTTGCTTGAATAGTGATCTGTGTACTATTCCTCCACCGATATTATTATCATTTTATTGGGACTTCGTCAAGTCAAAATGATTCCAATAATGTGGTACCCCTCGTGGCCGTACCGTTACATAATACTACTATCCTACATGGGAAAAAGCAAAAAAAATTTACAGGAGTGGACTTCAAGATGTGGCAACAAAAGACGTTTTTTTTTATCTCATCACTCTTAATTTGGCTAAGTTTCTAAAGGAAACTGCTCCGCTTGTACAAGAAGGGGAAAATAATTGTAAATCGATTATTGCTTTGAATGCATGAAAATACTCGGACTTCCTATGCAAGAACTATATTCTAAACGAGTTGGATAATACATTATATGGGGTGTTTAGTTTAAAAGAATCAGTCAATGAATTATGGGATTCTTTGAAGACAAAATACAAGATCGAGGATACCGGAACAAAAAAGTTCATTGTTGGCAAATTTTTGGACTACAAGATGGTGGATTCTAAACCGTGATTAGCCAAGTGCAAGAGATTCAAGTCT